TCTCTTTGATCCGTAAGCATAACAGCGAATAAACGCAGTATGATTATCGTGCCCACTTTCTAATTCCCGACCTGCAGCGCAACCCACTATTTAAATGGAGCTGAACTGTCGTCTGATAACCAGTACGATGTTTCAGCTGATATGAAATACTGGAATTATATTAATAAAACATCGGATGCTAAACTAGATAGACTTGAGTGAAATCTTCGAGCTTTTCGTTTTCTAGTGGTACTAGTTTTAGGAGATGAGCAATGTTTTCTGTTTCATTGATTTCTTTAACTTTATGTTTGAATTTGTCAACCATTCTTATTGTTTTATTGTTTCTCACAACAAATTTCGTTTCAGTCGAATCAAAACAAAAAAATCACGTGTTTCGAATTTGCGATATTATTTAAGACAGTTACTTATACAATGTACAAGCTTATCTACATGAAAGCTAAATATCAAATTCAACACAGGCATCGGAGACAAAGACCTAGGTCAGGTCAGGACATAAGCCAAACTATTTGCTTGCAATACTGCAACTGGCATTTATTGACTAAATTGTCGAACGGTCGAACGTGAGCTCAGTAACAAGAGAATTCAAGACAATACCTACTCAATTTGTTGGCTTTGAAAAGGAAAATAGTGTGAGCTTTCGCACTACCACATTTTCCGCCCAAACATTAGGAGAAGTGTTTATTTCTAGTGCAAACATTACAAAATGGGAGCACATTTGCAGGCACATTTTGCACAATTTGTGATACTTTTATATAAAACGAGCCCAATTTTCCTAGCTATTTTACTACCAAACAGAGCAAGCTATAAACTGTACATTTTATGTCCACACGTGGCCCTAAATATGTCGTCTGTTAAAATATTTCGGATTCTAGCGATTTACGTTGAAATGAAGCGAAAGATTTCTCTTGGTTGACTAAACACTTGAGGTCAAAGGTTTAAGGCGACCCACGCCAAATTGCTATGGTCAAACCGCTCCTAATTTGTATCAAACTTTCGGATGGGTCAGAGACAATCGATAAGTCAGACAGATGCGTTAATGTCTTACATGACAACTTAAAAGAAAGTTTACAGAAACAACTGTTTTGTTTTGGAGAAGCATCGGTACTCAGGATGAAGATATTGCACAACTAAAATATTTCTACATAACAAAGGATATATTTGGCAAGGATTCAGGAGATGATTAGGTAGTCATACTAAGAACAAATCATTATTCTCATAATTTTGAAATTTAACGAATTTTGAAGTCAACCATTTTATTTGCGAAACACAGCTGAAGCACGAGCCTACCTCACCCTAAAAATCAAGGTCTAAATACGTCTAGGCCAGACCCTTTGTAAATGTACTTCGCACATTCCAGTTCCACCGGTTTTCGAATGTCAAAGAGAGGAACATGATTTATGGCAGTTCTCCTTGCTATACAGTTTACCGTTTCTTTCTAATATTAGAAAAGCTAAATATAGTTTGTGTGTACACGGAGGAAACTAGATCGGTGCATTCCGAAACGTTATGGATCTGTTTTGACAGAAGCAAGTCTTTGAAGATGTTGAAATATTTTTCTAAGTAAATTTTATTGAGGTCAATATAAATTCAAATTATTTAGCAACAATCTAGTAGTGGGTAGGGTACGTTCATCAAGTGTATTTATTAATTAATTTAATTATTGCAAAAGTTATAGTATAGAGATACTCAATTAATTAGTTTATTAATACATGAAGATAGTAATCCATCTTTAGTTACTATACAGTGTGTTTTATTATTCAATCAATTACTGTATAAAGTTGTACATATACAAAACGCGTTAATTGTCTTAATAGTTTGCAATCAAGGAAAAGGTTTGCATATGATCAGAAAAAATGTGTGCTTATAATCCAGATTGTGGTGTTTCTTTATAATTATGTATATATTAATAATAATATGACTGCATTAAGCATATCACTAGCAATTCTCAGGATATTAATGAACTTTTGAAAAAAAATAGTAGGTATGTTTTCTGGATTCTTATGTATAATTTTTAAACAAAATGTCAGTTTTAGATACAAAATCAAAGATTTTTTTATAAAGTCTTTGATTATTTTACTTTCCTGTCGGAACATGTTCGGTGACGTTGACTCATTCGGATTTCGGATCCTTCCATCAACCGTGGGTGGATCTTATTAAGATTAAGTGATAAAGATTCTTCAACCATATTTCGAAAATGACTTTATGTTAACGATCTCCTTTGAATTAATTAATTGGGACTGAGGAAAATAAATTGACGAAGAGCAAGGAGGATTTTACATTTTTTTTTTGTTTTTCGAGACTTAGTATAAAAATATATTTGATCATTTAAACGAGAACGTTAAACGGAACGTTACTTAAAAACAAAATTAATAGAGATGAGTTGGATAGCTCTAAATATTCAGAATACTGAATAATGTTATGCTTAAATTTAGGTTAGTATAAACCACAGCATTTCAGAACTAGTTAAAATTCTATGTTCTAAATACTCGTCTAAAGAGAACTATCTGTCTGCCAAACAAATTGGTTGTTCGTGTTGAGCCGGGAATTTTTCAGGCGAGTGGTTTGACCTAACTATACATCCCAGGCTGACCTAGATACAACGAACAAAACTTTTTCGTGTTTGGTCACGACTTGCAGTTGTCTATAAAACGCTCGTTCCTAATTCCTTAGTCGATGGTTCTTTTCCAAGTTGACAGATGATTTTAAAAATGGAATCGGGATTTCGCGCCTTTTTTATTGAAAGTGAGCGTTACTTTTCTTCGTGGCTCGAAGTGGCACATTCACTCAAACGCGAGAAATAGGACTTTAATTAGGAAGCGGAAAAATTTCATCTGCAGACAAACATATTTTCGGAATATTCGTTTTTTTATTCCTGACAAGAATTCTTATTAGATTCTATGTATTATTGTATCACATGTCAATTGTTTTTTTTTACGGTAAAGAAACAGAAAAATAGTTGATCGTTCTTTGAATATCATGAAACTTGTATCTTCCTATGTTTTGTTTTATTCTTTCGCCCTATTTTGTCAATCACCCTAGATGACGGGATAGTTTCCCTGGTCAAACATATTTTTGTTTTACCTACATTCAATACCACCATTTACGAATGATACTCTTTAATTGACCTAACGATATACTGAATTTTATGTACCTGGGTAGTTATTCGCTATTTCATATTTTGCGATTATTATTATAATTTTTTTGTTATTTCAATAAAATCAAATTCAACCATATCATTTCTTCGCTCAATTTTATTAAGGTACACTTTTTAATATTTTCGTGTTAATATCAAATAAGACAACGGAATATCCAATAAGATTGAAAGTAGAGGTAGCAAGGTAGCCAGTGTATCTTTATTATCAAGCAAAAATATGATTATATTTGTCGTTTTATAAATTAAGAATTGAATCGCATATTATGTTCATACAGCAACCGAGCTATGAAACAACCTATTCACATACATTCTCTGGATTTACATAAACAATTTATTCCTTCAGTACCACGTATTATCATAATGTTTGATGAATTTATCAATCGACCTATTTTTACAAAATAACAAGTAGTCGATGGTCGATAATCGATATCTTTTGTGCGTTAGTTAGTTGAACATTGTTTTAATACATGAATCGATTAGAAGAATATTGAGAAGTTTTAATTATTAATCAATTTTTCATACACAATTACATGTCGGAGAACTTAATCCGCCCGTTTTTACAGAAGCAGTTTAATTTATTAAACCCCAAGCGATCTATTGTGTTTATATTGTGTCTCGAATTACCATGATTAAAAGTTTAAAAAAATAAAAGAATATTTATGGGTCTGTGTTAGGTCTGTGCGATCTATACGCACTGTCAGGAAAGGAGGTAAAAACTGGACTCTAATTCCTCCGTTTGTCTGCAGGCTATAAGTACTTGATGGACAAGGCTAGCTCATTTATCAAATTTGTTTGGCTAAACGCCTATTATACAATGTCTAAACAGCCGTTATTGACCAGATACAATTTTATTAGTCTATTGAAACACTGTAAAAAAGAATATGTGATACTTAGTATTTGTATCTTCGAAAGCGTTCCGACTTCCGAGCCAATAAACGACGAACGACAGATGGGGCCCAACATGGCCGATGTTCGGTCGGGGTTTTGAGGTGCAACTGCAATAAGGTACTGCGGCCTCCGCCTGGCGCAGGAGCAGCAGAAGGAAGGGGATTTTTTGTCAGTATGAGTCTTAAACTCCTCTCGCCTTAGGCACCCTGGGCGAGAGAAAGCATTTGATAATTTTCCCATCACTACTACCTATTACATCCTACTCCTGCTCTAGGCCGAGGTCGCGGTGCCTCATTGCGCTTACCCCGCAACCCCGGCTGAACATCAGCCCTATAGGGCCCCGTCTGTGGTGGTCTATTGGCTCTTCGAGGCGCGCGCGGAACGCTACGCGCCGTACGCTCGGGTCTGGTTCTGGTCGGGCGGCGAGCTACCCTTACTCGTCGTCCGCAGACCCGCGCTTACGGTGGCCGGAGATCATCTCTCGATCACTTATACTTACCTAATGTGTAGTTTATAACTATTTAGGTAGATTTTAAATAGGCCTTATCGAATTACCAACATACATATTTTTTATTATTTTTATCAACACAAGTAGGTGATCTAGGAACAAAGAAAACCTAGGACTCAGCCTAACCTACTGAAAAGTAAAGAAACAATATGGTCCCTGTAATGTTTTAAAGACCATTGCTTCACGAATGGCTTTCAGTAATGATCGTCTGTGTACATCTAAGCATATGGAAATATAGCTATGCAATAATATATCTATCTACTAAACAGATATATAGATATGTACCTATAGGTAAACGCTTTCTTCGTTTGCTGTGGTTCAACACAAAACCAGGCGAAGGACTCACACACACGCGCAGGAAAATCAATAACAGCGTTCAACAACAGACAACAGCTGATCACGACAAAATATAACAAATGTAGGAAATGATAAGTTTGTAAGAACACTCACCACGACTTTTGCTGACTATCGTCTGAGTTATTAAAGTTAGTTATAGCGGGATATCTGCAATACAAAATAGTAATATTCAACATTCACAATAACACTACAAAAATCAAGCATAACAATGTTTAGCTCACTAATGTTAGTAGGTAAAATTAATGAACTAAATGGCCCGTGTTATTTCGTTGCGTTCAACTAAATGCGAACAAAGGACTGTGTTTATTTTGCAACGCAACTCACCGTTGTGCAGTGCACTCCAACACCTTCTTCTTTTCCCATCCCTCTTGAGTTTTAACCCATTCCTCACCGGGAGACCTCCAGTCTTTTGAAATAAAAGGCATTTTTATAACACAAAACACAACAAAGTTTAACACGATTAGTGCGAAGCCTACGAGTCACACAAGCAAACGTCTACACTGCGAGACGGGATTTGACGATTTTGACACGAGAAGTGCGAGGTTGCGAGTTCGAACTGATGCAAATGTACAAGTGCGACAGAGAAGTCTTGTTTAGAAAAGGATAGCTGTGCGCATGGCTTTTGTTTTGTATATATAGAAGACGTCATAAACAGCTGTTTTTGGTACACAAGCTCTTACTTAGATACTGTTTATTTTATAAAGTCAAAATTTCTTTAAACCTATTCTTATGGATTTCTGATAATTTTTTAGAAAAAATGTCCGCTAGAAATTTTATTATGTTTAATAAAAAACTTGGAGACACTAAACAAAAATATGCTCAATTACTGAACATCGCGGAACTGAGATGCTTTTAACTCCCATTTCATTCATTCATTCTTTTCCGTAGTAATTCGTTATCTGTGCTTATTAAGTTAAACATTCATTCAATCTCTAGACGGGATCTACGTTTTTGAGGTTATATTTTGCACAGAATTTGTTTTCGTAATGGGAGACTCCGATTCTGGTTTCAAACCAAAAATCAGCAGTACTGCACAAGATCCGGTACTTAAACAAGCTGAGATAGCGTATATGAAGTTGATTGAGCAGAAAAACCGCGAACGTGTACAAAAGCTGCAGCAGATTTCTAAAAAGAATAGGCTGACTGGACTCGTGATAGGAAGCGGAGTGTTGAGTGTTTACTTATATTCTATATTTGCTGTGAAACAAGAAACGTTCCTCGACGACTTTGAGGAACCAGTAAAGATCCAGCAGTAATAAAATGGCTGCTGCGAAGAAAGTTGTTCAGATAAGACTACCACCTCTACCAAGTATCAAAGATGTTATTAAACTCTACAAACTTCGTGCTCTCAGGGAACTCTCTCAGAATTTTCTCATGGAACCTCGTTTAATTGACAAAATAGTAAATGCTGCTGGAAATATAGAAAATCATATAGTCTGCGAGGTTGGACCCGGCCCTGGCGGAATTACAAGATCAATTATCCAAAGAGGTCCAAGAAAAGTAATTTTGATCGAAAAGGATCGTCGTTTTGTACCATCCCTAGAACTAATCGCAGATGCATGTAAAAACAAGGTGGATGTTGACATCATTACCGGTGATATTTTGAAGACTGACATAGCGCAGTATATACCTGAGGATGCCAAGACAGACTGGCTAGAATCCCCGCCACCCGTCAATTTAATTGGGAACTTGCCATTTAGTGTATCAACAATATTGATAATTAGGTGGCTAGAAATGATATCAAAGCAAGAAGGTCCATGGGCTTTTGGGAGAACTAGAATGACATTAACATTTCAAAAAGAAGTTGCTGAAAGGATGGCGGCAAGAATTCTGAGTGATCAGAGGTGCAGGTTGTCTGTGATGTGTCAGAATTGGTGCAATGTGAACTACAAGTTTGATATATCTGGAGCAGCATTTCTTCCTAAGCCTGATGTTGATGTTGGAGTAGTAACATTAACTCCTTTGAAGCATCCCATTATCCAATTGCCTTTTAAGATGGTTGAGAAAGTTGTCCGCCAGATATTTTCCATGAGACAAAAGTATTCAATTAGAGGGGCACAAACATTGTTCCCAGAACATGTTCGAGAAGAAATGGCATTAAGAATGTACAAAATGGCCGACATTGATCCTGTGACCCGACCATATCAGATAGCTAACATGGAATTCTGCCGAATTTGTCATGCATACAATGAAATCATTAAAGAGTATCCTGAATTTGAGCATTATGACTACAGAGCGCAAAAGGTTGGAAAAAAAGTGGTAGAACAAGAAGTTTAAGTTATTAGCGGACTTAGTTGTATATATTAGTTATGTTGCAATAAATAATTGTTTAGAATATCAGTTTTATTATTTTTTTATTACTAGTTCTAGTCATACACATCACACAATAACTTAATTAAATTTAAACATTAGATGTTTCTGTTTCTGTCTGGCTTCTTTGTTCTTCTAGACGTTTCATTTTCTTCAATACTTTCTTATGTCTAAAAGACTCTAAATGAATGGCGTATACATTATCTCCAATAAATATTCTTTTGCATACTTCACAATAGTTATGTGAATTACCATCCATTCCTTTTTTTACATCATCAATAACTGATTTTATTGGGTCAAAGTTGCATGGTTCTTCATTGATATAGCTTTCTATAATATGAATAGCTTTATTTTTTACTTCTTCATCCCACTTCGAAATGTCTGTAGTGTCCAATTCGTAAATGGGCGGTACCTGAAATTAGAAATATAAACATCAGCGCCATCTATCATTTGTTTTAATAAAACTAGTTTGAAGTAATGTTGGTTCCGCTATTCGACACTAGATGGCGTTGTAGACAAATAATATCACTGAAAGACAACGCCACCAATGACATAAATATGCTAGCTAGCGAGTTCTGCTTCTAACCACAAGATGGCACTTTTCGATATTAGTATTAGATTTAAATATACAATTTAAAACGAAGCGACATATGAGTAAGTATAATACCTAAAAAAATTAGATAATAAAAAATGCTAATAAAACTGACAAGGATTGCAAATGAAACATAAAATATGTGCGCAATAAACCAATAACACGCAATACTTCATATCTCTTATTTGATCTATCGAATGTAACACGACACAGAAAATTATGGTACGTTTTATGTCCTGTAGGTTTTCCTACTACCTACGTTCGAGGACAAATCGCGAGCTAAGTTTTTTCCTTTTAAAAAAAATCTTTGCCCCACACAAGGCTATCCTCCTGTGTCGCGAAACATGAAAATTCACTTACACTTTACATCCAGACCAGTAACAACAATTTGCTAATCACAAAAAGTGTTGTTTCGTTCGGGAATCGAACCCGAGACATGTCGCACAGCAGCTAGTTGCCCAGCCAACGTTGCAGTCACATCTTAGCAAAAAAAAAAAAAATCAACTGTACCTACATTTTTGATGTTACCTACACTTCTGAGCCTACACTTGTTTGACATTTAATTAAAATCTTTACCTCTCTCGTCGGGTGTTCCAAGAATCTTCCTCTAATCATCTTGTTTTGCCGGCGGGCGTACCTTCTGGTGCCCATTTTCATGTTTTCTATACTTTGTTCGAGTAATTTTTTCCCTGCATCGGTATTTCTTTCTTCATCAGACAGCATTAAATATTCGTGAAATTCTTTAAAGCCAAGAGTTTGGAAGACGCCTTTGGTGTAATCCGGTGGCCTGAAAATGATAATAAAGAAATAGGATAATGTATGAATTTAATAATTAATGTCACACGGGACCTGAGGACCTTTTATCCGTGCGTCGGATATAAATAAGCTGGTTGTGTTGATAATCTATGGGAAACGAGTGAATAATTAAACAATTTACGAATGTCTGCTGACGTCAACTGGGTTATGTTTAAGAATCGTAAGTACCTACGAGTAAGGTAAACTTCTTAAATTGATTTTGAGGAGGTAGGTACGTATGCTCAGTAACATGGTAAGCCTGTAAGCCGCTTAAGGAAGCCTGAAACAAAGATTATGATTTTGGGTAGGTAATAACGAATTATCTAAATATGGGAGGGAAGGAGGGTTGGTACCTCTTTACAATCTGTCTGCGGGTAGGAAGATACTTGAATATGTTTAGAAACGTAAGGAAGATAAGTCGTCCAAGGTCGGTCCGGCGCTGGATTAGCCACAGATAAGTATTTGCCAACATAAAACGATGCAAAAATGTTTTGTTTATCTTTTTTCCGATACCATATATCTTTCAGGGAAGTGGAACTAACGCGGATTGTTTACTTGTGGGCGTGTTCGATTATTTGTTTTATTGCGTTGTAGTAAATATAGGTAGACCGCGGACGTACACACATTTAAATTCGGAATTTTTTAGTTCTGTTGTTATTGGCAATGTAAGAATGATGTAGGTGTCGGTTGCTCGTCAAATCAGAATTCGTGTTGAATCCGTTTCTGTGTGGTCCCGGCTAATATTAGGATATCAGTGTCTTACCATTTTTGGTTTGACAAAGAGTTTTTATAACATTAGTTCGACTTATCTAATAGGGATGTTCTTCATCATTTTAATGTTCGTATATTATACTTTTTGGACACTACAATGACTTATTTTCTAATTTTGAGTGTTAATTCATTATAATAAATATAAAGTTTGATGATGATTCTAGTCGATCTAAGGATAAATAGGTAGATTAAAAATAAGTATTGCTTGTCCATACGTAAACATGTTGCTTGCAAAATTGTTGAAATTGGGTATTTTGACAACACTAGCAATACTTAGGGAGGAAGATAACTGCACTGCTTCGGTATGGCGGGCGCGCAACTCTAGTAACAGATAATGATCTGTGCTTCAATCAATCTATGTATAAATAAGCAACTAGACATTAATAACAATAACTACGTTTATGCAGACGATGCACGACAACGTACTTTGCATAATACGTCTATATATTATTCGCTACACAACGTAGAAACCCGAACATTTTAAAAATGGAAATATGAATATTTGCGCGCCATTCCGTGGCGAGTTTTTTGTCGATGGTATAATTATTATTTAGCGAACGATGAACGATCATCGATTACGTAACGTTTGTTAGGTATCGTTCATTCACCTCAGTTCGTTCCCCGCTGACTTAACCTTCAAAATATATTCGATTTATTTTATTTAGTATTTTTATCACACATGTGTGCCTCAGTCAGTCACATGTTCGCGCGTCAAATTCGCTAAAGACGCAAAAAGTTATTTGACGACATGTTAATTAGGAATACCTACGATAGATAGGCTGAGTGTTTTGGCGGTTTTGGTTTGTTTATCTATTGAGGATGATAGTCAAATTAGTTTAGTATAGTTTCATCGTGGTAATGAAACGAATTTCAGTACCGCCTAACGATGACTTAAAATTATGATGACATATCCTAAGTATCTATCTATATACAAGAGAAACTTTTGACAATCCTTGGCAATCTTACGGCTGATATGAATAGTCGTATTATTTTTTAAATAAACCCCAAAATGGCTGAACACACTTGTGTACGCGCGTATTGGGTGGCGCCGATTGTCTACAGATGAACAATGTGGTTGTTTTGCTCCCTTATTAATAAAAACATACAAAAGTCTATGGAAAACCATCATTTTTTGACATTACATATATATAGATTTTCTGTCAAACAAATCGATCGAGTTATCAATTAATTTCGATGATAAAAAATCCTTGTACAAAGAACAACGAATACTTTAAAATAATAAAAACACAAGGGAGAGTTACTGGCTCCAGTGCCCTTATTTGAAGGGATGTAGATTGTAGGGGTAGTGAAGTAGGTTAAAGGGTAGTGGGCTGTAATGGCCGGTGACGTATTACGGCGCGTAATGAACCCGCCGCGTCTGGATGAAGACGTACAAGTGCACGCAGAGATATAGTCGACTGGATGTGACTACTTACTACATCGCTGGATAATCTAGCATTTTGATTAAAGACTTTTTCGTCTAAATGTCACATCACTATTTGTGACCTCTTTTCTTTGGAGAAGGAATTCTAAATTTAAATATAAATAAATTCTGATTCTAGATTTAAAAATAAAAAAGCTTGTATATTTTTGAACTTTTACTACAGACTACAACTTATAATCTTTATGCCTTCAGGAAATTCCAGAACTAGACGCGTTTAATAATTGTAATTGTCAGCATAAATGACCATTGGTTGGTCAACTTCCTTATACAAAAGATACACATTTTCTTTACAAGCGTACAGATAGTATGACAACAGATACTGGTTGGCACTTAATAAATCTTTATTTTCTTGGGCACCGAACATGCCGCGTTGTTTCACGCTCGGCTCTGATTTGTTGTGTTTACAGTCTTCCAAAACAAAAATAATACCAGGAATTCCAAAGACGTTCTTTTCAGTTTAGATAATAAAACTTTTCAGCTTTATAATAGTATAGATAAATAGTTTGATTGTAGATTGTCATAGCTAATTCCGTGTTCCGTTAGACAGCACATCAGTGAAAAATCGAGAGTCTTTTAAAACTTTCCTTATACATTCTATCTGACACAGTTTATGTCAAGGTATCAAAAGGGTCAGGCGTGGATTATTTCAGAATAACGACATACGACATGCCTGTTTTATGCACAATTTTGATTTATTACTTCAAGTAAGTTGTTCTTCGAAGGGTAGCCGTTAATTAATTTTCGTGTAAGGATGGAACAGGTTGGCGGAACTATAAACCTTAGCTTGTTCAGTTGTCAGTAAGCAAGGGTTCTACAGGGCTGATGTTCAGCCGGGGTTGGGGGTAGACGCAATGAGGCACCGCGGCCTCGGCCTAAAGCAAGAGAAGGAGAGGGGTTTTCAGTCAGTCTTTCTCTCTCGCCTTCACTGGGCGGGAGAAATCATTTGATTTTCCCTTGACAAAAAAGGGTAGTTTCACATTGAGACGCGACGCGGTAACACGGTATTGCAAAATTTCAGTCAGTAAAGCGTCCGCCGCTAGACACGTCGAAATGTATAGGTACTTTGTCCTGTGCAACATAAACTTGTTTTTTGAATCGATCTTTCAAAGTGTTCACGCACCGTCTTGGTGTGAACTGACCCTTAGTAGGTTCTTGTTGCTTATTCTGTGATCGGTTTAGCTGTGTTGAGTTTTCGATTTTCAAACTTGTAGTAACATAATTGATATTGGTAATTCAAATCTCCAAATCCCAAATTATTGCCATCCCTAAAAGGCCGCAACACACTTTTAACTTTGTGTTGTGAGTGTCCATTGGCAAGGCCAAATGCTTACCATCGGGTGACCCATCTGCTGGGTCACGCCCATCTTGTTTATTAAGTACTTAGCTATTCTCGCGCGGTTTTACACGCTGCTCGGCTCCATTTAATCATAGCGTGATGTTATATACCCTGTAGCACTCAGGAACATTGTAGCTATCTATCAGTGAAATAATTTTGGCAATCCGATTTCAAAGATTACCCTCTACATACAAACTTACAAACATACAAACTTACAAATTTTACCTCTTTATAATATTAGTATAGATAAAAATATAAAAGGACAGTCTTCAATAAATATTCTTTTCAAAGTGTTTTGAGTAGTGAACACTTAAGACTTAATATTTAATTTGCTTTTAATTAAGAATGGGAATTATTGACTTTTTACAGTTGTACTTATTGATGTACCAAATATTATTTTATTAACCTCCTGACATAATTACCTGTGATATTATGTATAATATCTACTTATATGTACATATTTCAAAAGGTTGAATTAGACTTGCTTAAGAATTTTACTGGGAATGTCCTTCATCTTTCTCAGTTAGTAGACAAATTGTCTAGAAAGTGGGACTGGCTTACATGACATAGGGATGCTGTTCCCTGTTTGCTACCGTTCTGCGCACACGCAGCGTAAACTTATTAACAGGTCTTGATCCTTGCAATTAAAAATCTTATTCTATACTATCTACTCTCGCAGTTCCACACGCTGCTCGGCTCCTACAGATCGTAGCGTGATATTTTATAGCCTAAAGCCTTCCTTAATATGTAGTTTATTAGACACAAAAAGATTTTTTCAATTCGAACTAGTAGTTCCTGATGTTCCTGGTGTTGAGATTAGCACGTTTGTACAAACAGACCTTTCATCTTTATAATAAATAGTAGTATAATAGTATAGATGTGAATTGGTAAACTAATTATTTACAATTACTATTTTAGAGGTACAGTTTTCAGGAGAATTGTATTGTTATAGTGCATTCATGTCTTCTGTATGCTAAAGAAGATGGGCAAGATAATTTCTAATCGTCATTCGGCAGTTCTGTTATTTACTCCATGTAATGAGAGTCCAGTTTATCATACATCAGGTATACATATTTCTATACTCGGTAATAATATGGAATACTGCAAAATTTAAACTAAGAAAGTTACCTAACAGCCATTGTTTTCAAAAAAGACGCCATTGTTGAAGATAAAGAGGCTACCAAAAACGGATAGGCTATGCCTACTAATCCAGTAGTTTGAAACAGACTTACTAGATTAAGCTAAAACAAAAAAAAAAAAAATTAAAAACAACTTTTACTTTTTCAAAATGGGACGGAAAAAAAACGAAAGTTCCGTCCATCAGTGCGGAGACGTCGAGTATTGATTTCACGGTGCGTTAAAAATAAATCAATCGGAAATCCAGAGTTTTTTTTAACTGACTTTGCTTTTTTTAGATGAAAAAAAAAAGTAAATCAATCAAGAATCGATTAATTGATAAATAATGCTATGCATGAACAATTAAAACGTAATTTTGATGTAGATAAGTTGTGTTTTGGTGTAAGGACGAGAACTCTGTCCGTTATATGTTTCTATGTATGCTTAAATCTTTAAAACTACGCAACGGATTTTGATTCGGTTTTTTAATAGACAGAGTGATTGAAGAGGAAGGTTTATATGTATAGTAACATCCATTAAATAGTGGAAAAGTTTAGTATAAGCACTGCACCCGTGCGAAGCCGGGGCGGGGCCCTAGTTATATTTGTTTGAACGGGAATATCATCAAATGACTGATGGAGGGATCCAACGTAAGGCGAGAGGGAGTGTCAGACTTACACCCGGTCTCCGAAAGACCGATCAATATTAAAATCAATTTAATCTCTTGTCAAGTCATCTGATTGGTGAATTATCAACAACCAATCAGATGACTTGACAAGAGATTTGACACCTAGTTAGTTGATTTTAACATTGATCGGGCTTTCGGAAACCGGGCATTACAGATTTAAAACCACCCCGTTACTTCTCCTCCTAAAATTCGAGGTCGCGGTACCTACTTATCCTTGCCCTAGGTCTCCAGGCTGAATTGTAGCCCTGTAGTCTTTAAGCTCTTTGTAGTCTACAAAGAATACCTATTCGCGAAAAAATGATCTATGATATGATAAATAAAGTCGGTAAATTTTCAGTCATTAATAACATTTCTTATTCTTAAACTTGGGCAGCGACTATTTATACCTCTCCTTGATTACCAATTCTGTATAAGTAACCTACTTTCAAATTAATTTAAAGGTTGTTTAATTTATAATTAGAAAAAGTTAACTTCTCGTGATTTACCTTAACTAGAAGGAAAATATGGTCAAGAATCTACAACAAAGATAACCAAACCTACCTTGTCAGATTTTTTTTAGTAATAACAGTATAAAAATAACACGTTGACTGTAGCAATTGACGGTTATTTTTGAGGTTATAACTAGTTTTGACTTTTCCTGTAAATTAATTAACAATTTTTTTTCATTTTCTAAAATTACTTCTTCTATGGTTCCATTCGTTTTTTTTTTAATTTATAATACAATTTAAAATTTTTACAAGTACCAAATAATGGTGGGATAGTAAAATAGGCTTTCCATGTAACACGACACGCTGTAAGACGCGACCGCAGCACCGCACGGCAGATGACAGTCAGGACGTTGCCCGCGAACGCCATATTTGTTTTTGTGCACTTTTTTACGAATAAAGTTGATGATAATTACATCGTACATAAAGTATAAACACAATAGTGTTAAGGTTTTAATTTTATTGTAGATACATAAATGGTCAGCTATAGATAAGAAACGAAAAATACGCTATTTTCGCCAATTTTCAGCATAGCTGAACATGTGCTTGTGCGTTTAATAAATAAAAACAAACTCATTATAATCTTTAAGTTCAAAATACTTCATTAAGTAACTTCTCTAAAGAAAATCAACCTACTCAAAATAGATTCCGTACTCTATTTGTACCTTCCATTCATGGCACTACACTTTGAACGCCAAGTTAATATTAAATCATTCAACCACTCAATAAAGCTATAAAACTTATCAAATATGTAATTACGTTTGGCATTTCCTCAACCAATAAACTTTGACAGCTCAAAATGGCGCCACTGACTTTGACACTGTCAAAACCAGAAACATTTTAATTTTTGTACTCTAGTTCCAGGTTTGGTCACGGGTCTTTTAATACTGGCGGTATTATAAAGAAGTTTCCTGTCAGTTTTGCGTTTCTTACTAACAAACGTTTCGCTAAGCGCCGTTTAATTTCACGGATAATTTGTGTGGATCGAATGCCCTTTGTTTTTCGTAAATTAAGTATTGATCGACGACTTCACTGTCTGTCGATTTTTATTTTAAAACGATAAAGATATTTTAAAGTGTTTGTATTTTTCCAATCATTTGTAGTTGCTTTTTTAAGCTGTCTAGCAAACTATAAATAATATTATAATTGGATAGAAACTAAGCCCAGATGTTTAAAACGCGTAAATAAAATTATTAAATTGCAGGTGAATGGTGGGTGGGTGTCATTAATCACCATCAAATTATATGTTGAAGATAGACTGAATATTTTATAATCTTCAGGATTTTCTTGAGCACCTTGTGCTGGGGACTTGCACAGCAAAAATTACTAGTAATCGATAATAGTACTCGATATTTAGGAATTGAGGAGGGATCGGAGAATCCCTCACTCACACACTGCGCGAAATACAATGTACTAATTCACGGTGGTTTCCTGGGAGGCCGTGGTATCACTCCGGTCGAGTCCACCCATTAGTGCCTAAGATGGGCTTTCCCACGCTTAGATTTCAAAAATATAATATGATGACAGGATTTTAAGCAATATCTGAAGTTGTTAGCTAAGTGACTTATGTAGTTAACTTCTTACTTTCCATCCTTTATCCTTTGCTTGTTGTGTTTGTCGTGAAAGTCCAGCAGCTCCTGGATGAGGCCTTCTTCTATCATGGAGTCTACTCGTGAGTTCAGGCGCTGATCGTGGACACTCTGTAACAAAAATCGTCGATTCATTAGATTGATGGACTGGTAAGAATTAACATATTTTTATCAATAAATAATTGTAGTGGGAATAGCTGATACCTTGTATTTACGGTCAGTAACAGTCTATATAGCGGTTGCTTTTACAAATTTATTATTGTGTGCGATAATCAACCTGTTCAGACAGTGTCAGACTCTAATTGACTTAAAACCAACCCGTTCCTTCTCCTCAACCAACCCAGGCCGCAGGATATTATGACTACATTAGAGACTTCAATAGTGTTCTATTCAATGACAATTTCTACTACAAACTTAATGCATTTCTTTAAGAAGAACCAATGTACCTTATTATTAGCATGGAGTATTAAAATATCCCCTATTCACGATAAGAGTCTACTCATTCGCATGAAATCCTCAACTCGCAAAATAAACTGACGGTATTTTTTCAATATTTGCGAAACTGAGGCAGGTGTCCCAATAATGTTTGATGTTAGGACGAAGACCCTTACTGCCCCCTATGTTACAACTTACCCAGGGGAACAGAGGATTCCCGTGAGAATTTGAACAAATCGGAATTCGCCAACTGATAAGATATGGGCTAAATATTGATAAATGGATGCATTGTAGTGCAATAACTTACGAAGTTATATCACTGCATAACATGTGTGGGAGGATTTTTTTTAGTTTCTATCCCTTTAGGATCATTGTTGAGTGAAAGGTGTATGTTGATCTGGTACCCTTAATGCTGCTAATTTTTTTTTTTATGTGATAGAATGGCTAACGAGAAGACGGATTACCAGCTGGTAAGCAATAAACGCCGCCCGCCTATTGACTCTCGCAACATCGCAGGAGTTACGAGGGCATTGCTGATCTTTTGGCGATCAGGTTTTTTGGGATTTAGGGATTGGAGGACGGAAAGGATCGGCTCCCGACAACCTCAATCACACGGCGAAACACAACGATGTGGTTGTTTTCTGCCGATTTTCTGTTGTGGTCTGGCCTCGGTCTAGCTGACCCATTTGTGTCCAAGCATGGGTGAAAAAATAAAGGTAGTTAAAAGTAGAGTTTAAAAAGCTATTTTAATAAGACTTTCAGATAGTTATAACCTGTGCAAGGTTTCTAATAAACGTTAATGAAAAAGCAAAAAATCCTAGTTTAATATAAAATCCAAATGTACATGTACCAGGCGCGCATACCTATAACGGAGCTCAATCCAGTACAGGTAAACACAGTGAGACAACATCTACCAAGAAAACCTTTATGAAGCCTTGGTAGTCTTGAAAAGATGTAATTTCCTTACCCTAAGCTGCTTTGCAATCTAGACAGTATTGAAGCTGGGAAATCGGTTTAAGATATAAGATGTCCGTTTTCTCGCTCGGTGAGTTTCTTATCTTCGCTCCAATGTTTAATAACAAAAATTATCTTGATGTTAATTTAGTTCATTAAGCGAATATATGTTGTAACCTACTAGGTGCAGTAGTGAAGACCTGAAGATCATGCTACAATTACGAGTTTATGGGAGAGGCCTACGCCTAACAGAAAATGAAAACGGTAAAAAAATATTATAGATTAGGCAAAAGATACATTCAACAGATTCCAGAGAACACTAGTCGATAAAGTAATAATTTTAGATAACAATACTAGTACTAATCCTGCAAAGCAATTCAAAGAAAGGAAGAGTAAATTCAAAACATTTGAAACAGCTGTCTTGGCTAACATTGAAGACTTCTCGATTCCCATAGCAAACTTATGAATATGATAATAACTGTGATTAGAACATGTCACTCGATTAGCCGACATGTCTATTGTTGATCGTTAACATGTTATAACGATCGCGAACGATTTAAAACGATCAATTAGATTGTGAGTCACGAATCCTAACGATTAGGTTTTGAAAAACTTTGTTTGAATGTGGAATGAGTGTGGTGGTGTTGCTAAGGGAGGGCTTTGCATTTTTAAGAGATCTCTGAAAGGCTGTCTCTGTCATGAACTATTTGATGTAGTACAACTACTTACATTGAAATTAAAAAACAATAATTCTCCAATGGGTTTTTTTGTGAGAGGAAAATCATCAAATGACTTCTCTCGCCCAGAGCTGGGCGGGAGGGAGTGTCAGCCTCTTACTGACTAAAAACCCCCTGTTCCTTCTCCTTCTCTGGGCCGAGGTCGCGGTGCCTCATTGCGCTTACACCGCAACCCCGGCTGAACATCAGCCCTATAGGGCCTTGTCTGTGGTGGTCTATTGGCTCTTTGAGGAGCGCGCGGATCTCCCATGGGATAAGGTAATATTTTTGCCATAATTCTATTCTAAGTGTCTTTTAAGGGTAACCCATTTACCGCGATTGTCGGGTAAGAGCAATAACATAACGCAGTTTCGGCCTGGAGCACGAGAAGGTACAGGGTGGTTTTAGTCTGCAAGAGTTTAGTTTGACACTTGCTCTAGCCTTAACCTGGCCGAGACAATTACTTTAAAATGTTCTAAAAAACTGACTCATTTACACTTTACCAACACTTAGATAAACAGTCATATATAATCTTGCTCATCCGGTTGGATACGACCTGCATCCAGCTGCTCCATTTATTAAGCACAACACGCTATAAAATTATTATGATTTCACTATTTATCTTCATCTATTTATGCCCTTTTGTAAGTTACGTGTTATCAGAACATTAAATATCATAAAACCTATTACTAACCACATATGTACTGCACATAGTTCAATTATTTATTTAACATATAATGAACGATGCGCATGCGCAGTAATACCGCATGCATTTGACGCATTGTATTTTCCGAATGCGTGTGGTGTGCTGTTGTCAATGATGTAGGATTGTGTTATGAGGTTCGTCCACATATCAGTCTACCTCTTATAAAGAGAAAAAATACGAAGATCATCCTTTGAAACTGGATTAATATGACTTTGATAGTCCATTTACTTATTAGGTTCTTCCTCAACTCTTCCCAAATTAGGTGGAAATGATAGTAATAATGCCTACACTGTGTTATCTTTGTTAAATCAACTCTTAACACTTTTATCGATACCCTAGAGTTCCGGTCTTATACGTTAAAGGAGGATTTACCTTCTTTCGACATAATCATCTTAGTGTGGGATGTAATTATATTGTTAGTGTAAGAGAGCCCTGCTAAACGCAAATGAGCCGGCTAGACCGGAGTAATACAGCGTTTGCGCTGTGTTTCGCTGTGTAAGTGAGGCTATCGGAGGCCCAATCCTTCTCCTCTTCCCATCTTCAATCCTCAAATAATTTAAAATGCAGGCACACACTTGTAACTTTTTTAATTTTGCTGGTGCCTATGGGCGGCTTCGTTTGCTTACCATCAGGTAATCCGTCTACTCGTTTGCAGAATCATCTAAAACGTATAAAGACGAGTATCTATGCACACGAACACAGCTAACTCTATGCGATCGTTCGTCCATGTTGGTCACGGTTATGTCATTTGGGTCAAGCGTGTGTCAATCCTTCGGCGACCTTTCTCATGCACGATTACAGGTGCATACTCCACTGTGACACTATGAGGTACTGGCTAGGTCTAGACTTACTTCATTTAGAGGTATTACGCGTATATTGTAATGTCTACATAGTATAAAACAAAGTCGCTTTCTCTGTCTTTTTTTTATGTGATAGGACGACAAACGAGCAGACGCTTTACCTGATGGTAAGCAAACAGCACCGCCCATGGACACCCGCAACAACAGAGGAGTATGTGTGTATATCCCTATGTTTGCTTGAATCTTTAAAACTACGCAACGGATTTTGATGCGGATTTCCAATAGGTAGAATGATTGAAGAGGAAGGTTTATATGTATAAGAACATCCATTAAATAATGGAGAAATTGCATTATCAGTATTGCAACTGTGCGAAGTTGCGGCGGGTCGCTAGTAATATGGTAAATAATAGCTGCAACTCCACTTTTAGAGAGTATCGCTGGACTGCTCAGCTCTCAGATGGCTGATCAGCTCCCTACCTTTTTTATGTAAAATCTTTCTTAACTGCCTGAAAGAGGTGTTTGAACTACAAACGGCACTTTTGAATGATAAAGTTATGTACTAAAAAGTTGATAAAGATTTTGGTAGTCCTGACAGAACCGATCACTGGAATGCATCTATATTTTTACCTTTGATACCAAAATGGTAGCGTATCAATTTCTGTATCAGAATCAATTCAGCACGTTTTGGGGTCGTCATAACATACATTAAATAGTGGAAAAATGTAATTTTGATCAGCATTGCAACCGTGCAAAGCCGCAAAAGGTCGCGATAAAAGTATAAATAAATAAGTATTAAGTAGACTTTATAAGCAAAACTAGATAGTTTGCTACTTTTATTAAAGGCAGGCAATCTCGGTACACGTGTGCTTTTAACACGTGCTAGCAACAAAGGATTGATTCTCCACGTTCAGCATCTAAGTAGCCGGGAAACTATGTGCTCAGGGAATAAAGTGCGGAGCGGCAACCGCGCGGGAAATGATGGCGTTTCGCACCTAAGCTATTTTATATGAGGTTGTTATTAAAAGAGTTTAGACTACTTAATTTATAGATGACATATTGTTAGGAAATCTGTTCCTAACAATATTTTATCTTAACCTAACAAGAGGAAGGAAATTAGATGCAAGATTACAAGAAGTAATTAAACGAATCCACGACACAGGAGAAAACCGTTGCTGTGCTGTTGCTAGCAAGTGTGGTGCAACAATCTTTAAAAAGCATATAGGCATAGTTTTATGGCATGGGAATCCGGGACACATTGGACAACAGTCTTAAGTCAATTAGTGCACTAAATAAGATAATCTAATAATGAATTTAGCACAAACATATTTCATACAAGGATTGACTTCTACAAGGGGTATGTTGGGAGTGCGTCGGTTGAGTACGTAACTGCATCATTCGCTTAACCTAACACAACATGCACCAGTGTGCACGGTGCACGTGTGGAAACAAGAGGTACACAACCATAGGACAGAGAAAACAGTATGTCCGCTAAGTAAAGTCAAAGTCAAAATCAAAATCATTTATTCCAACTGAACCATTAACAAGAATAAATTCAACATCATCAACATCTTTATGCCCACTGCTAAGGAAGAGTCCTTTCCTTACCTTCTCATATAGAGAATGTTTGAGCGTTAATTAGCACGCTTGATCAAAACGGGTTGGCGATTTCAAACTTATAATTCGAAATTAAAAGTCCAGATTTCATCACGATGTTATCCTTCACCGTATGTCAATGGTGTCTAAACAATCATAGACCGTATATGTAACTCGAAAAAGTCACTTCGGTACTTTTGTACTATGAGAACCTTAACCTTTGGACCACGAAGACAATGACATTAAAGGACCTAATTCAATAAAAAAAAACATGTGATATGATATCATAGATCTGCATACGAGCAGATAGATTACCTGATGAAAAGCAATCAGCGCTGCCCATGGACACCCGCAACAATAGAGGAGTTACGAGTGTGTTGCTGACCTTTTGTAATTAGGAATTTGGAGATTTTGGGATGGGCGGAGGGGTCGGTCTGGGCCTTTGGTAACCTCACTCACACGGCGAAACACAATGCTGTGGTTGTTGCACGCCGGTTTTCTGTGAGGCCGTGGTATCACTCCGGTCGAGCTGAAGCATGGTTCTCTCACTGTTATGAGTACTGAAAAATGCGCATAGTAGAGGTACTGCATCATCATAGACTGTGTCGCGGTTCACATGAACACGTAATAGACTCGCGTCCTCGTGCCCGATACACAAGATAATTTCAATACTAGATAAATTTGACTTTGACTCCGAGCCTCTGACTGACTTATGTCAGTGCCCTTGTCATAACTACACTTGCGTTTATTATGAACAGCATATACATAAAATACATAGATAAACTAGAATTTTCATATGACTTCATCTGTTCGAACTTGTCTAATGTAATGATGGTCCCCATCTTTGTAATTGTGGATGGTATACTAGTCGCAAGAGGCGTCTACTGCTGAACATAGACCTTCAACCGTCCCCAATAACTTCCAGACTATATCGGCTACCCTCACTGATCTCATAACTGCAAAATGTGTTTGTCCGTCTTTCTTTCTTTAATTTTTAGGTTTTTGGAGGCTGGAGAGAGATCCAGGATTCTTCTTTGATTTTACAGGTGAAGCCAAAAGGGCAAACTTGGTTTTATGAAAAAAGGTTGACTACTACAATCCTCATAGCCGTAAAGAGAACTATTGAAATATGTTTAGTATTTTCTGAGAAAAGTACGTTCAAACAAACACAACCGTTATTCAGTATACATACAACAAGGCAATATTCGCATGTGTAGTAGGGAATAAATAATTAATTAAGATATGATAGACCACACCCTCATCTCCTCGGTGATGTCAACTAAATTGTTATCAGTTTTGATTGGACCACTCAGGGAATCGATCGGACAAAATCTAAGAGTTGCATAAACACGTGCACCATTTTTTATTTATTATTGAGTTTTATTTTATCACGTAGTTCTTTATGGATCCCAATTTATTCTTCTATTAGTCATATGCAGGTATTAAATACGTTTAATACCTGCCGATATTTAATTTATGTCTAAATTGTCGTGATGGCCCGGAGGTTAAGCAGCCCGCTTCTCATGCATGAGGGTGTGGGTTCGAAACCTGACAAGTACCAATGTGACTTTTTCCGAGTTATATGTACTTTCTATGATTATTTAGACACCACTGACAAACGGTGAAGGTAAACATCGTGAGGAAACCTGGACTTATAATTTCTAATTATAAGTTTGAAATCACCAACCCGCATTGAGCAAGCGTGGTGATTAATGCTCCAACCTTCTCCGTATGAGAAGAGGCCTTTGCTCAGCAGTAGGCACTTATAGGCTGATGATGATGATGATGAAATACGTTTAAAAACCAATTAATTGATTGCCGAGTACTATCTACCAAATAAAATGCAGAGTTTTATTTCTCAAAATATTTGTACAGAATAGTATTTTTCAATAAAGCCGCTATTTCGCAAAGTGAATCAATTAGCCAAACTGCTATTTTTGGAAAGCGGCTAATCGTTTTATAACTCAATTCGCGTGATTTATATTTTATTCGTTTTTAATTAAATCCCTGCCAGACAGGCTGTTTTAAAGCAGTGAATCGGCCATTATTGTTATTGAGTATTTTTAATTTTCGTGATTGGATTTCAATTTGGGAATGAAGTGTATTAA